TTCTTCCCTCTGTAGTAGCATACATGAATAAGTTTCTATGCAGTTTAGGTAGTTCTGTTTCCTATTATTCCCAAAAGAAAAGCTTCTTTCTTTTCTTTTTTTTACAAATGTTATTTTAAGCATCCTTTTTATGTCATTATATATCATCATGGTGGCATGACATTCTTTGCTTCGCTCTGGCATCGCAAGGGTACCTTTAGAATTGTATATAACAATTATTTTTGCTCAATGAAGAATAGAAGCAGAGTAATTTGTGTGGGTATATGACATTATTACTTATAATGAGTTGGGGGAAAATGTTGAAGATAAATTTTACTAAAAACTAAAAAAACAAACAAACCAGAAGCTTTTAGGAATATTAGGTGCAGAGATACCCAGGGACCAGAAAAAAAACTGTTTATGTATGCAACAACAGCTGCCCGGATGACGTTTGCTCAGAAATCGAAAGAAGATACAGTCCCATCCAAGGAAGAATGGCAGAAAAAATCTAATGGACTACGATGAAAAGGCAAAACTTACTCGAAGAATAAGAAACCAAGAAGAAAGAACTTTTAATTAAGAATGGGGAAAATAACATGGACTATCTGAAAAACTAAACGTTCTTCTGTTGTGTCAACATATGATCTCACTTGAATTTATCTCCTCTGCAGGCACCCATCTTTAATGGACTCGAATGGGATTTGGCCATCTGCCATATGTATTCATAGAATCATAGACTTTTGAGGTCCCTTCCAACTCGATAAGTCTATGAGTCATCTAGTCCAACCCTTAACATCTGTGGCTCTGGGACAACCAGCTAAACTCTCCTGCACCTACAGCAGTACTATCTACACTATTGGCTGATATCAACAGAGACCTGGACAGGCCCCACACTATATGCAGAAGAATGGCTATGTGATGGCCTGGGATTCGGATTCGGATGCTGAACCTGGGGCATCCCAGCCTGCACAGGATTCCCCGCCTCCAGATCCAGCTGAGCCGGGACTTCCGGGTTGGCGCCATCGCCGAATGGCGGACTCCCTCCGAGCTCCGGAGGGAGCCTGCTCGGCAGGGGTTGGGTCCTACCGCGCCGGCGATGCGGGGACCCTCAAAAACCACGGGCACGGAGCCCGTGGACATGGGTGACTCGGCGGGCACCGTTAGCGCCCTCCCGACTCGTGAAGGAGCCTTTTTAAAGGCTACGGAACGGGTGCCGGGGAGCGGCGTGGTGCTGTGAGTCCTCTGCTTTCCCTGCCGAGCGAAGCCGCATGCCATTCGACGGAGAGCGCTGACTTCTTCTATTGAAAATTCGGACTATAAACAACAACCCGTGAGTAATTTGGAAATCGGACTTAAAAGGAGAAAAAAAGAATTTTTTTCGGATTCGGCACGAGCGGGGGAGATCCAAAAAGGAAGTCAGTCCCCCCCCCCCTATTGTAAACATTCTAAAACAAGGATTGGGCAACCAAGGTCGAGAAAGGAGCTTGCTTCTGTTTATTGATAAAAATTATTAATTCCACGATGGGAAATTATAAGAACTGTGCTGGAGGAGAAGAGTGGAGGGTGAGAATGAAAGTGCAACCCCCCCCCCCGGAAACCGGGGTGATTCGTGAGAGAGCCTG